GTAGTACAAACATTTATTGTGTATGACAAACTAAAAATAAACTTAAATTCAGGGGTTAAAAAAATGATGTAATTTTATATTGATCGGCCATTTTCTCAAAAAAGCAAAACATTTCCCGGAGGTACATTTTGCTAGTCCATGACCCATTTGTGCGACAGAATTATTTCAGTATTTTATTTTTTATTTTTCAGTCATAAAATGTTAACATAACTCGTGATTGCCATCACTTGATCATGATCGTTTAGCTCATGTAAAGGTGTCTAGTGGAGGAAGAATGACAAAGCACAATGTTTATTGTTCGTTCTCATCTCTTCCTTAAGGTTTAAGTACTGTATTAACACCCTGAACCGTCACTAATGGCAACCGGACCGTGCTTCCTAGACATACTTTCCTGTTGGAATCTCTCTTTGCGGTGCGTTTGGTTAAGGACACTATGACATAGCCAGCTTGAAGGGTTCTCATAAGTCCAACGCGCCTCTCAACGAAACTCTTTATAAGAGAGTTCTTTCTGAGGCGCTGCCAGTTCCGAGAGTTACTTCTTATTTGGGTTTCAGTAGTGGTACCAGTGGATGTTACGGTAGAGGTATTATTAATTTAGTTATGATACGTGTTGTCTAGTTAAGTACGATACGCTATGTTTTTTTTATCAATTACGTTTGTTTATGTTACAGGTCTGATACTATTTGGTAGAAGTATTATTAATTTAGTTATGATACGTTTTGTCTAGTTAAGTACGGTGCGCTATTTTTTTTTTAATCAGTTGCATTCGTTATGTTGCAAGTCTGATATCTATTTGCTTACCTTCTTTCTTGGTTATATATATATGTATATATACAACTAAATTTACAAGTACGATACGATGATGCGTATAAAAAGAAATCATACCAACAATGTTTATTATACAACTAATAGGATTTAAATTAAAACCTAGTGTAATATTTTAATGGTCTGAATGTATCAAAAAAAAAGGCAAATGTTTCTAAATTCAACAATGCTATATACATAATTCTTAAATGAATTTTATCAAATGTATTAAATAAAATTATTATGTATTTTTTTGAATTTATATTATATAATTTTTACTTTTTAACAGTTAGTTTTTCTTCCAAATTTAAAAGGAATTTTACTTGCTAATTAAAGTTACTTTTAGATATAGTCATCAAACAAATAATATGTTTTTTTAAAAAAATTAATATTAATTAGTAACTTTTTTCTTTAATTTAAGATCAAAGTTTTTTGAATATTATTAATAAAAGTATTTTCTTTATAAAAGCTAAAAATTTTTTTATATTATTTAAAAATTTTATAAAATATAAAAATTTATATTTAAAACATTTATTTATATATTTAAAATTATATATGATTTTTAAGCAAATCACATGAAAGATCAAATTTTTACTAAAGGACAGTTCTTCAAACTCTTCAAACTCGTCTAATCCAATAATAAATATTTAGAAGCCAAATAAGAGATATTAAATATTGAGAGGTAAAAAGGAAAATTGCATGAAAGTGAATAATTTAAAATCAACGCAACAAAGGCATAAAAAATTATTATGATGTTATCAAGATATTATTATGATTAGAATCGTACCTATACTTGATTGATCGTACTTTACCAACCTTATCGTATCGTATCGTATTATTTTAATATATGCTCTGGTAATGGTGATGCCGGTGATAATACCGGTGGAGATTTCGTTTATAGTTAATTTATGATAATAAATTATGTAAAATCAAGTTTAAAACAACGATTTTTAAAACAAAATTTCATTGTATAATAGTTAAATTCTAAATTTGTTATTATTATATCAATTAAAAGCAGAAAACTTTAATTTGTGCTATTTACATTTAAACTAATTCAATCATAAAGTAAGTATCTGTATGATGTCAAATTCTGGTTATTTGAACCGTCATCACGTTTCTTCTTATTAGGCGTCCCCATCACATCTCCGAAGCAACCTCCAACCGTAGCATTATCATCATTATCATCTCCCTCATTTCTCTTATTTTTCTCTATTCTGTATACTTGAGCATTCGCTAGCGCGACATTATTCGCCCTATCGCAAATGACTTTCAGGGTAGCCTAAAATCGAATGAAATATACTTAGTGAAACCTTATAGAAATAATAAGAAAATTTTGTATAGTTTACCTTTACGTCAGAAATAGTCGCATAGAATTCCTCTAAGCATGCAATCATACGCATCGTATTTGGCAACTTTGTTCTACGAAGTCTGCTAAACCGACAAACGTTTGTTGCCTTGCAATCCATGGCAAATACATTGTATACCCATCCTTTGTAAATATAGAAAAATAGAAAAATTGTTAAATATAATAATATTGATTTGAGCTGTAACTTCATTGATATTGTACCCCAAGATTGTATGCCGAGAATAAAGGTCTGATGCAATTTATCATCAGGGGAATTTGGGTTTGCATGAAAAAATTCGCTCAATATGTCACGCATTGTCACTGCTAAATCAATATGGTCTTCAAAAATTTTTTTTCGATGAGCTTCAGGGAGACCGCCACTTCTCAGTCCAACAATTGCTTCCAGACTATCAATATTATTTTTCAGGGTTCCTTTAAAATCACATTTTTGTCCAATTCGAGCTCGCAGCATAGTTGAACGCCCTTCGTTTCGTCGTTTAGCAGAAGCCCAGCAGCATATTTCACCTCTAAAGAAAATAAATTATGTTAAACATGTCCATTTTCAATTTTTTTCACTTCGAACTTACACATCTATCTTAAGCTCTGCCTTATCAAGAAACCTTTTCATTAACATGTTAGGGAATGAGTTGTCAAAGTCTGATTCTGATATCGGCAAGTCGACACCGGTAAGGTTCTCAATACTATGTGAAACATTTCGTTTGTTGTTAGTATATTTAGTATAAAGTAGAGAAAATGAAATGATAAAATATTTTGAAATACACACTATGTTAAAATGGTATGTTTAACAGCAAGAATGAGATCATAGTCTTTATTGTTTAATGAAATGGCGCATTTCTCAGCTATTGATTCTGGAGAAAGACGATCAATTTCATGTCTGATATTTTGACTGCTATTTACAATCTGTTGTAATAAATCAATGAGAAAAATCTTCTTCAATACAAACATGATGAATCACATCAATTACCTTGTGAATTTCATCGAAAAGGCAACATAAAATCTCAGGCATTGCAATCTTTGAGAGCTTGACCTCTTGCTCAAAGTTTTCTACCATTTCCTCCCAATCTTGAAGTGTAAAAAGAGCTTTTGTTTCGATGTGATCGCCCGTAAGATCTAAAATTCCCCAGTAAACGGGACTGCAAGTATAGAGAAACAAAAAAATCCTGCGTTTAATAAAACCCTGCAACCCCAGCCATATAAAATCATTAAATTCTTGTTTTTGAATAACGATAACGATAAATAATATTGTAAATATAGATAATGTTAGTAGTGTTTATGGGTATCCCAGGTTCAGGTGAATCTACCGCGGTTAAGGAATTAGTAAAACTGTTTAATATCAAGCATTTTTTTGCTGAACCCGAAGAGGAAAAATGAGCCGATGCGGCGAAAGGTTGAAACATAGTTAAGCGCATTAGAAAATCGTAATGACTCACTTTAAATTTTTTTGAGTATCTGGAATATTTTGAGCATACTCCCTTAATACAACCGCAACATCTGTCCCGCTGGATAAGATCCATTGCTTAATATGACCAAAAGTTTCTTGGGATTCCACTTTTTCTATGTAAAGATCTTCATTTAGGTCATGAATCTCTGCATCACTCGCAAACAACTCGGCAGATTCATCAGTTGTAAGATCCTCTGCAACATCATGAGATTCAGCGGGAATCATTTTTTCTACGCCATTCGTGTCATAACTCTCTTCAGCACTATCAGACGACTCCAGAACGTCATTCTCGCAACCATCTTGCAATCTCTTAATATGAAGAGAACTCAGATAAGACTTCTCATTTAGTGTATCCTGATCGATATTAGTTTTGTAAGCTTGTATCCGTTGATCTTTCTCTTGTACTTTATTCCAGAAATCTATGACTTCTGGGGATGTCGAGTTTACCTGAATAAATCAAAATTAATATACTTCGTCAATTTATTAAAAGTAGCAGACACATACCTTGAAGTTATCAAATTCAGCTTTGGCTTTATTGCGCACGTGAATATTAAGTGTTGCCAACTTGGTTAGAAACAAAACGTGATTTGCATATGTTGAGTGCAAATAACGCTTGTCGCCAGGCTGTAAGCTAAGCTTAACATCGATTTGTTTAAGGAATTCATAAAGACCTGTACTTTTAAATACTGTCTTCCGATTCCAGTAGTTAACAATTGCTGTCTTCAAAATCGTTTGGCGATATTCTAGAGAAGTCATGAGTTGGATAAAGTTATTGTATGACAGATTTGGATCAGTCTCGTTCATTTTGACTTTAAATGATGTCATTTGATGTCATGTGATGTCATTTCAAAGGTCATTTGCTTGTCAACACGAGATTGTGTTAATATTACACAGTTTATAAGAGGTTTAGGATAAGAACCTAAACCTCTATTCTAGGTTAAGGAAATATTATTCAATCGTTCGTGGTGAGCTACAGTAAAAAAATATCGGTTATTTTCGAGAATTACGTGGTCTTATTGATGCTTGCGCCATCTGACATTAACACATGGAGAAACAATCGCATTCATTTTTAGTTGTATCGTTCGGGAATACAAAGTAACAGAGCAGACTGGATTTTGTCTGTCCATATAGAGTCGTCCAAGGTTCCGACTCAAATAGCTTTCCAAGCTTGACTGCAGTTTATATATTTTTTCGTGATTATAACATTTAAAAACAGTGTAGGCATCATTTAAACTCTTGTCTTCGATGTTGCTTTGTTAACTTTATAAATTAGCATTTTCTTCATTTTCTTTTGTGCCTTTGCACAAAGAGGCTTGTAGACTTCGTATGTTATTTCCTTTGTGCCTTATTGACATCCCGAACATATGGGAACGTTGTTTCCAATAAATCAAGTCATGAGATATAGTAAATAATCTGTAATGTGATTTTACCAGATATACTGGTCCACAGACTTTCTTTTCCGTGTTTCTTCTTCTTTTTGACTCTTATTTTTCTTCATGATCCTCTTTGTTTGAGTTGAATATGTGATATTGATCATCATTGGGCGAGCCCCCGCATCCTCTTCCATCATGACAAGCGTCTTTGCATCTTGGCATGGTAAGCCCATGCTGTCTCCGTCTGATGTAATACTTTCACAAAAGGCACCAGACCGTTATCATAAGAGTTAGCTGAAGATGGTCTGGAGTTATCAATTTCCGTCAGTGCCGTAAGGAATAACGATCCCCTCAGATCTATACAAAAAAATTTGTTAAATACTTTTCGAACATTTCCCCTATGTCCTCTTACTTGAAATGCTCTGTTAGGTCGTACTCAAGCATCTTCATCAATGATATTTCGAAGTACCTTTGGTACAAGAAAGGAGGATCTTCTATTAATAAACCCTGCCAAGAGAATTGATTTTGTGTTGTTTTCGTCATACACCTTCCTGAAAGTTCTGGTATGTTTTATTTTACTTATTACGCAGTTTGAATTACTAGCGATTTATCATCTACTGATTTACATTTCCCGATCCTATGATGAAGATTATGCGAAATTGGAAGAACAGCAATTGCGATAAAATAATTCCCTCGATAAAAGATCTTCAGTGGTGAAAGCTTTCCATTATTCCCTTAATATAATCCCTGAAAAATTTTCACTAACACAGTTTGTTTATCTTCCGCAACGGTAGGTCATAATGTATCCCGGGATATATACCCTAACTTTGTATTTATTATAGATTATATCGCAAAATAAAAACTTTTTAACACTGCATCTGATCTCCCGGCTAAAATACTTTATTAATATGTTTTTATTATCTCCTGCAAAAGCCGTGCTTTAAGGGACGATAAATTTCTATATGCTATTTTTTGATCGCCGAGTTAATAGCTAGGATCGGTAAATTATTGGACATGGGACTTTCATGTTTTGTAATGATTGATTGTAGTATTAACTGCGGAAGAATAATATTATGGGTGAATCGTAAAAGAAACAAATTAAAAAAAAGTATTATACTCCTTTTGCAAACGCATCATTCATTTAGAGTTTTGCTCCAAACAAAGCAAACAAATCAATCTATTTTTCGCGTTTAATCAACTATACAATCTAATTTTTCAAGACTTTGGCGAGTTTACCATCATCAAAATTTCCGGACTATTACCTTGGATTGGGAGAGTAGGGAGGGATTCAAGTAGCGGTATCAGTAGAAATAGCGATAATGGTAGTAATTAGAGAGCCAAAGAATAGGAGCAGACAAAAAAGAACTTTGAAGATAAAGGGGGGTTTTTTTTAACTCAGCATTCTTTAGAACGTTCCAAACGTTCCCAAACTTTCGTCATTTTACTGTGAGACTATATTGCGCAAACAGTATCACACAACGAAAGGTTTTTTGGAATATTTTTATTTTATTTTTATTATTTTATATTACTTTACTGTAACGTTATTTATAAATTAACCAGGGATTAAGTTAATTAACAAATATAAAATTATTTATATAATAATAATCATTATATATAATAAAAAAATAATATATATATATATATATTAACAAATATAAACAACTATTCTACTGATCTACTGTAAAATGGCCAAATTAACCGTTAGTTATTTGGACACATCTTTCCTGATCCATAAATTAATAACTTCCCGATCAAAACGTTCATCAATCGATCGAGCCATTAAAATACTAAAAATACGAACGTTTTGATCAAGGAAGAGAGAAAAGAAAAAGGATGAAAGGGATGAAAGATTCCAATTTATAATTTATAAATAAATAAAATTTCATTCATTCAACGGTATACAAGTATATTCACCCCCCAAGAAAATTAAGATAAAACCCGAGTCCGGAGAAATCCTAATGATGAAATTTTCTTATTCTTATCTTCTTACAAGACATGACTTAAAAAGAATGTATTGATTATTGAAAGGAGTAAGGATTGTAATGGTTAAACCAATATGGCCATTATTTTTACAGGTTTCAAATGTAATAGTATCTTCAAAATCTCCTTTCAATTTTTTTTCAATATCACTCCCATACCATTCTAATAATCTATAACCACTTATTCGAAATGGTTTCATAATTTCTCTTATGCTATCAAGATCTAAATCAACGTAAATTGAAGAAAAAGTATTATGATTCTGAACTTCATTTACAGGTAACCTATAATGAAAAAAGAAATTAACTTGTCTTCTAAAATTACGATGTATTTCATAAATCACATGTTTTAAAGCAATAATAAATGAATCCACAATTTGAGCATGTTCTTCGAATGTCGTCCACCTATTTAATCTGACCAATTCATTATTACCATCATTATTAGGTACAGAATAAGTCTGAGGAGTAGTATCGATGGTTGATGGTCTCGTATTAGTCGAAGGAGTCACGGAAGAAAAGGTTGCATTTGACATTTCATTAATAATTAAATCTCTGACTACATTTAAATCATATTCTTTATCATCTTTTTCTTGTTCTTGTTTTAAATTATTTGGAATTTGAAAATATTCTAATTCCAAAATCATCTCTTTACGACTAACCCCATTATAACATCCTCCCGGTTCATTTGAAGTCGTCCACAAAATTTGACCTGTACGATAATATTCTAATACGTAACGGAACGCATAACCATTACGATCAATAAAATATTCATTCTTATTTGTCAAACATGATTTATGATTTCCATTAACCATTTCCCCAAGACGTGTATTAGGATACTTAGCAAGGGTCGCTTTTCTAGTTTCATACTATAAAATTTTTGAAGGAATTTTAGAATAAAACCTATTAACTATACATAAGAAGTTGTTTATCAAAAAATTACCTACCTTTATACCACTGACATTTAAAATAATAATTTTATCGTTTGAAGTCATTATAATTTTCGACTATTTTTTTCGTTTGTTTTATTTCAAGAAGAGGAAAAAGAATGAAAGGGTTTTTTTTAAAAAAGGATCGAATGTTCGGTGATCTTATCCTGTGTGACGTTTGAAATTTTAAACATGGAAATTCAACAAAAAAAACCCATTTTTGTTGGGTGATACAATAGGTTACATGATTTATATTTTGTATACCAAAAAAAGTTCCCGACACAAATATTTGTTGTGCATTGCGATAAAACGTTTTACAATTTCTCTGGATTTATTCTTTCTAGACCATTTAAAAATATAACAATCTGGCTTGTCTGGATGATCAAAACTTCAATGTGGCGAAGCATTATCCAATAAATTTAAGAGAGAAAAAAGTGTGCCTTTTCCATCCGTAATACTTGCACGTTGATTTTATTACTATAATATAAATTTTTTCTTTAAAGATGGATCCCCCTTTTACGCGATGGGATAATAAGTTTTTTACAACTAACGAATAAAGCAGATAATCGCATTTTTATAAATCTATGAATTTGCAATTATGTTATTTGGTTTGAATGGCACAGTAAAATGTCATGCGATAGTGGTTTTGATTTTTTTTATTATCTTTAATAATTTCTTTTTTTTGTCGACATTGTATTAATATTTTCTAAATGAATATTGTTATTGAAAGTAGTTCCATTCAATAACACAATTAAATAATAAAATTAATAAAGTTTTTTTTTTGGTTTGCGGGTAAATACAAAATGAAAAGTGATATTTTTATAATGAATGGATGCAGATATTTAAAAAGTGTTAAGGAATGCAAAAGAAAAGAAAAGAAATGGAAAGTGTACTGGAACTTTTTCTCAATCTCTCCCAAAATTGAGGAATGAAATGCAAAAAAAAAAAAAAAAAAATGAAAAGTATTCTATGAAAAATGCTAAATGCAAAAAATGTGTGAATCAATGCAATATATAGATACAAATGCGTGTTTTTATATTATACATATCGTGTGTAATGTGTAAAAAAATGATGTTCGTTTTAAGATTTTATCAGAGATGATGCTTGAGGCCACAATTTACTTGGATCCCTAATGCTTTTTTCATCAAAGAAAATATGATGTGTGGAAGGTTTAAAAGCATACTCTAGAACTTCTTCGTTGTTAATGACACTAAAGGCTCTCCTAATAGAAAATGTGACCATAACGTTGGTTGAAAGATCTTTGGTGAATTCAGGATCATCATTTAAACCTAATGAACCGATATCATTTTGTAAATCAAATCCCCGTTTCAAGGGATCATCAAGTAGGTAAACTTGACCACCGGCAAATGAGCTGAAAGATAATGGGGTATTTGGAAATCCTCCCACTGCAACGGTTTGAACTTTGTGTAATTCGGAGAAAAGCAAAGAAGTTGAAGAGCATGAAGATCCGCATAATCCGTTTGTTAAAATTATCATATCAGATGATTTCCATGGAAGTGGTTCCTGTTCGGAAAGAAATTGTCTAATAGGACTTAAATCATTTTCAATGAATTTTGATTCAAGAAATTCACTTGCGCTATTGAAATTTTGTTCATCTACGGTTAAATATCCATTAAAGTTAAAAATTGAATTATTGTTATCGCCTGCTTGTTCAATGGCTTTCTTTATGATATCAGTAAGTCTAAAATTGGATGGTGATGATGGGCTTGCATCAGGAAATAAAAGCAGATTAATGAAATGAGCAAGGATAATAAGTCCCCCTTCATTATTTGACATGTCCAAGACGAGCTAATAAAAAAGAATGAAAAGATTTAAATTAGACATCAAATCTATTTTTCAAAATATATGAAAACTTGTTAGAAATTTACCTTTTTGGCACCGTTATCGGCTAATGTCTTGAAACCGGTTTGCAAGTCACGGAATGAATTTGTGATGGCGGTATCAGAAAGATCAGGGCCGATATCATAAGATGCAAGTACGGCAACACCAACATCATTTTCCAACATATAAAATTGAGCGGTTATAGTTTCAAAAACTGGTTTTCCAACATCAACTGAAGGACTTAATTCTTTCAAAACTTCCGAATTGACTCCAAACGGATCGGCATTATAAAAAGCATTAGAAGATTTAGCTTTGGGCTTTTTAGGTTTATTTGGTTTATTTGATTTAGTACTTCGCCCAGATTTTTTCAGTGACTTTGACTGAGATGAAGATGGATTTGCACAAAGATTTTCCCAATAAGAATTGGCATCAGTGAATTTTTCAAGGTCATCAGGATTATTTATAGCAGCTTCCCAATTACGCGTAATAGTTTTAGTATTTTCCCCACATTTTAGTTGATACGTTGTGGTTTCTTTTTCGGGTAAAATGGTACGAAGATTGTATTGAGCGGATCTAGGGTGAAGTTGATAAGTTCCTTGTTGTAACGAAAGAGCTGCTAATGCCATGTTTAATCTGACACCAAGATCTTTCGAAACAAAAACCTTGTCACGTGCAAATTCCGTGATGACGTCGATAGCCGCGACACCATCAATTTTTTCAACTTCACAATCATTATTTTCGGCTTCGGCACCGTCCTTGAAAACTTTAACTTTATGCGTTTCATTCTCTAATTTAGCATAAAATATGATTTTTTGCGTGAAAATAAACCGCGTGTAACATATTGGGAAAAATAAGGTATGCGGATCTTTCAATTTGGTTACCAAATTAGTAGCATCCATCTAAATAGAGAAAATTACGTGAGAAGAATTCGAGATTTCTCGGTTCATAAGCAATTAATACAATACATACCGTGAATTCAAAATCGGTTGCATATTCTTTTTGGCTCAATTTATCAAATTCACTTATAATATCCATTGATTCATAGTTATACCCTTGACTTGGTTGTTCCTTCGCTTGATCGGTAAACACATAGAATCCGTTGAAAATTTTCTTCATGGTATCGATGGTCTAAAGTAAGAATATATAAAAAAAGGTCAACTTCCATGACATTTGTAACCAAATAAAAAGGGAAAAGTTAAAAAAAAAAAGTAGTTACATCAATTCTTCTTTCATTATCAAAAGAAAATGATTCATAGCAAGCTTTTAAATCCGAAAATGGAAAGAGAAGACCTTCTTTGGTTCCAGCATTTTTGAATTTATTATGAATATTAGCACAACCATCTTCTTGACTTATTTTAGAATGTATGGGTGCTGACGAGGGTTTATGTTTTGGGATGTATAAAGGTTCCCCTCGGTGAGTTGCCAGCAACAAGAGGAAAGGAATGAATGTTATTAAGGTGAATGTTTTCATTTCGAAATGTCTATATGATGAGTAATGTAAGGAATGTATTGTATATGCCTGATATATTTATATAAATGAAAAATTCTATATATTCTATGTAAAAGTTAAAATAAGAAAATGAAAAATGAAGGAAATGGCGAAATGATGGCGATATGTATGGTAAATATAACAAAGGAATGCATCTATTCACAAAATTTTGGGAGAAAGTTCCAGTTAAAGGATTCTTTCCATTAGATGGGAGTTTGGGGTATTTATATTCAACCAAGTATTTCTGATTTTTCGTTGTTTTCTTTGTATATATTGCGGATCATTTCACAAAATGATCTTTTTAAACCAAATTTGGGATTTTTTAATTTAAAATTCTTTTTAGTGATAGTGATAATTTCGTAAGTATATAAAAAGGGTTAGAATGGGATGTTGAACTATTTTTTGGGCGTAATAGCAGTTCCACCAATGGTTTCCCGAAGAGTTTACATTTCCATAATTAGGATTATGTTGTTCGATTGATTCTAAAAATTTCGGTTTTTAATTTGCTAGAAATTTTTGGGATGTTCTAATTTGTATAACAACGTAACAAAACTCTGCGATTTCAAAAATATTGTGTTACAGCGTGTCATAAAATAGTTTCAGATCAGAAAGTTTTGTTCTTTTCTTTAAAACAACTAATTTGAAAAAAAAAATCGTGCAGTTCTTTGTTTTTAATAAATTGATTGGGTTATCCATTAATTAATCGTCACTTGCTATTTCACGTTCTTTGTTAAATCAGGAAAATTTTGATATTTTTGGAAGAAATCAGAAAATATTACAAATAACGATTAATTAATAATTTAACAATTCTTTCATTATAGAATTTTTATATCACTTAAACAATGCTACATAAAAAAAAAAATTATCAAGGACAGAATTCCAGGACAATGGACAGTTTGTGATTAATCATTTAAATTTAAATTTCTTAGAAAAATTCAGTTTCGAAAAATAAAAAGTTTGGGAGGAAACAATTGATTTTAATTTTTTTTTGTTTACGATTTTTTTATTAATAAATTTCAAAAACAATCTAACCAATATACCAACAACAAAAAAAAAATCTATAAACAATATTCTCATGCAAATTCTTTAATGTTATGCGATAAAGAAATCACTTCAAACTTTTACCAAATAAAATCTGATTTTCGCTAAATAAATTTCTAATTTATTCGAAACATGTATAGTAAAAAGAAATACTTATTTATTTGGACACATCATGTTCTGTTGTAATACATGTAAGACATAAATAAAAATCATAATAAAGAATTTCTCGAATATGACTTGTATTTTTTCCAATACATTATGATGTTATTACACTTCTCTTTGTAATATTATAATGAAACGTTATATGTATTATGAAAATTTTAAATCATCGTTAATTTTTTAACCATTGTAACGAGTGATTAAATTTAGTAATTGATTGATGATTCAAATTCACCAATCAGATCAAAAGTAACACAATAAATTATGTCAAAAAAAAAATTTTTTTTTTCTCTTCATAGAACTTGACGGTAATTTTATAAATAATATAAGATTAAATATTAGTTCACATAAGTCATTGCGAAGGTATCATCTCTTTTTTTTATATGAAAAATGTCAACCGGTATTAACTTAGGTTTAGAACGAATAAATTCTCTTTTAGCTTTATTAAATAATCCACATAAACGACTTTCAGTAATTCATATAGCAGGTACAAATGGTAAAGGTTCAGTATCAGCATATATAGATTCAATTCTTATACAATCTGGCTATAAGACCGGAAGATTCAATTCACCACATTTCCTAGAACCTCATGATTCAATAAAAATAAATGGCTTGCCGATATCACAGGAAAATTTCAAGAAAGAAAATGAATTTATCACAGATATAAATTTAAAAAATAATGTAGGAGCAAGTTCATTCGAAATATTAACATCTATAGCATTAAATTGGTTTGATAAACAACAAATTGATATTGCTATAATTGAAGTTGGGATGGGAGGAAGATTAGACGCAACTAATGTTTTTGATAACGTTTTATCAAGTATCATTACTTTAATAGGAATGGATCATGAAACTTTCTTGGGTGATAATATTGAATCTATTGCAAAAGAGAAGGCTGGAATCATGAAAGCAAATGGAAATGTTGTTATTGCTCCTCAAATTGAAAAGGAAGCTGCTGATACATTAAAGAAATGTGTTGATGAAATTGGGTGTGCAAAATCCATATTTGTAGAAAGTGCGAAATGGGAACAAGAAGAAACAGGATTGGCATTGGCTAATTTGATTAATCATTCAAACATCAGGATTAATATTCCGCTTTCTGGAAATATTCAATTAGAAAATTCTGCTACTGCTATCATAGCTATAGATTTGTTGAGAACGACTGAAAAAAAATTTGCAAATATATCAAATGAACATATTATCGACGGAATTTCATCAACTAAATGGCCTGGAAGATTACAATGGATAGATGCTTTTAAATTATCAAATGTTATTAAGATGCCTATAACTTCTAATCTTTTAATTGATGGCGCTCACAATCCACAAGCTGCAAAAGCTTTAAGAACTTTTGTAAACAAACTAAATAAAAATAAAGTTCATTGGATATTTTCCGCTACAAAAGGAAAAAATCTTACAAAAATTTTAGACTTATTATTAAAAGATGAGGATTCATTAATAGCTGTTGGATTTTCACAAGTTGAAGGAATGCCATGGATAAATTGTTATGATCCTAATGAAATTATAGAATATACAAAGAATGCAAAAAAGAATATTAATACTTTTGTTGCTAAGGATGTTAAGGAAGCACTTATTCATGCTTATTCAAATTATAATGAAGAAGGTGAAGTTGTTGTACTATGTGGAAGTTTATATCTTATTGCAGATTTATTTAAATTTCTTCAAATTAATGATTAATTATATTAACATTAATTAAATAAAAAAAAAAATAAAAAAATCTTATTTAAAATAAAAATTTTATTATTAAAATACTTTAATATTATTTATTAAATTAAAAAATTAAAAATCTAAATTATAGTTAATATTAAAATTATGTAATAAATTATTAATAATTATTATTATATGATCTTAATCACGTGATTTTAAAGAAATAATAACCTAATCAGCATAAATATACATCTTAATAAAATATATTATATAGCAAACCTATTACATTTTTTAAACCTATAAGATAATAATCTGTTAGTATGATAAAATAAACCAAATATTATCCTAACTCTAATTCCTAATCTTTAATAATTCAATACAAATAAACCAAAATCAAAGATAAAATAGATGATTAAATTCTATAATTATAATTGTCAAAAATTAAAAGAAAAAATGAATGATTAAATTCCAAAAAGAATGAATTGATTAACTAAAAATATAAGCTTTTAATGGCTTTATGTCCTAAATAAATTACTTGTTTCTGTGTTTTTAACATAGCTAACACTGGTTCTCTTCCCTTCTTTTTTGAGAAATACATTTATAATCATAATAATTACACAAAAATATCCTAACCTAAACTCTAACCCCTAATTTTACTTTAAATACTTGTATCAATCACTAATTCTAAATTAACTTCATTTATAATAAACTCATGATAAAGTTAATATAGAATTTGTGATAATAATAAGGATGACTTAATACTGTTAATGTAAAATTGTAATGAATATTAAGAAAGAACTTACAGTTAATGTAAAAAAATATAATAAATAAATATTATAAAGAATATTATTATAGTGAAGAATAATGAAATGTTTAAAGAAAAATAGAAAATAAAAAATAAAATGAGTGAATTGAGAAAAAGAAATTGTAAAAAAAATGTTTAATTAAATTGATAGATAATCTATTTAATTATTAATTAGTTATTTTATATCATATGAATATCATATAATAACTAGAAGATTAGTAAACTCCTCTAGAATTACTATTAAAAATCTTCAAACACATGATTATATATATATAATATGACTAATTTTAATAAACTAATCTTATTAACCCTAATCTCATAGGTAAATATCTGTGATAAATAATAAATAACAAATAGTATTTTATAACTTAAGAAACTAAGTTTTCAAATTAAATAGTAAAAAATAAACATAATGAATATGATATAATGTGATAGATAAATATATATAAGTTACATAATCCAGGGTTTTTAATAATGATCCTGAAAAAGTTAACTAAAGATATATCACATGTATAATAAAAAAAACAATGCTTTTTATATTATATAAACTTACTTCATTTTATAAGAAAATTATTTAGTATATTTTTAAATAAATATTAATTAAATAAAGAAAATAAGATATACATGTATATTATAAAATATAATATAAAATTTAAAATTTAAATTTAAAATTAAATCATTAGTATTTTAAACTAATCAATATTAATTTAAGTATTTTGATTACTTGTAATTAAAGTTACTATTCTAAATTACTAAAAATTGGTTTTGATTAAACAAAACTAATTTCAGTAGTTTTAATTAATGATGCTGTTCGAAACTTATTTTAACGTGTAACTTAAAAATTTAGAAACTATTTTGAAACCTTTAAAATAACTTTTTTTTAAATCTAAAATTTAATGAAACTTAATTGAGTTTAGGAAAACCTATTAGAAGTTTAGGTAAAAACATTTATTATAAACAAATAGTTTTATCTTAAATATCTCAAAACTCAAATTTTCTAAAAATAGTTTAGGGAGGCATCTTTAGTTTTAACTATTAACTAAACTAGATTTGATACTTAATTAAATCATTTTTAGTAAATCTAAACTACAGAATTTTAGTTTCAAATAGCAATACTACTTGTAACTTAAAATTAAATTAAAAATTAAAATAAGTTAAAATATAAATAATCTAATTATAATTGAACTATAATATAAAGTTATTTAAAATCATTATAATAGAAAATTTTATTATAATAAATATTTAACAAATATATACTATATATTTTTAAATAAAATATTTATTTGAAATTTTAAAAAATAATTAATTTTATTTATTAAAAAATTTATATATATAAATTAATGATATCTGTTTAAACTTTTTTTGAAAAATATAGTTTCGTTAGAATAATTCGTTTCTTTAAAAATTTTTATATAAATAAATATAAAATTATTATATTTTTAATATATTTTACTTCAAGAAATTCAAATTAAGTTAAATATAATTTTGACAATTAAGTAAAATAGTTTTATCATTAATAAAAAAATAGATTTGTTATTTTAGTTTTGTTAATTTTATCATATTAAGAAAGATAATTTCGTCAGGTATCACTAATATAAATAAAATAAAATAATATCTTAAACTCTTATATATTAATTATAGATTATTATTAAAAATATTTAAAATATAATTATAATAATTAATTTTAAGTAATATAGAAAATAAATTTAAATATAATTTTTATTATTAAAACTTTTTAAATTCTTATATAAAATCTTTATTTATTTATATATTATATAAATTAAAATCATATTATAAAATATATAACTGATTATATTTTATTAATAATATTTATAAGTCTAATAATTTAAATATGGGTAGTATTCTATTAAAATTGAGGTACAGATCATATGATTTACTATGTCTCATAACCCACTTTTAATAGATCAGCTCCCATATCATTAATCGAAATAATTTATTTCATCACTTTTTTAAAGTGCTAAATATTGGCTAAAATATAGTCTAATTTTTGCTGATCTTGTCAAAAAAATCAGCATTAGTTATAGCTGAAATTGTACATTTTCATATTACACAAAAAACATAAAAAACCATTCAAAATTAATAATTAGTAGTTATTTGATATATCACTAGGTAAAATGGAGCCTTTGCAATAGAAAAGGAGGAAACAGCTAAAAAATCAAAATGAGTTAATGATAATTTTTGATATATTTCATATATTTGGATTATAAAAGCAAGTTATATTATATAATAAAATTTTGAGATAATTCAAGATAAATCTTTTCATATATAAATCTTTTTTTTTATAAATAGTATACAGGTTAGAGGTAATGATGATAGGTGTAAGAACATGTTTTACAATATCCAATACTAATTATGTGACCTTCTTAGATCTTAACATTAATTTTCAAATGAGATAACCTTCTGTTTACAACCACCCCCAGACCGTGTCACCTATATAAGAATTTTTTCTAGAATAGATCTATATGAGGTAGCTTTTTGTACAGGTATTTCTAGCAGTCTGAGTTCTGTCAAATTTGGATAGAGAGATCACTTCAAGTCATATAGGAACATTACTACCTATATTTTATCCAACTAATGCTGCAGGATTCATGGAATAGTCCATGAGATTTGTTTAAACAGTAAACTAGTAAGATGACTATTGTATCTATTTTGTTAAATAACCCAGGAATCAAACCTGACCTCCAACTCTAGTAACAGTTTGATTAGACAGTACTGCGGCATACAATACAGTCTATTATCACTGTTGATTTAATCTACTAAATTCTGGTCAATCACCTCCTTAATTTATATATAATCTTATGATCATTTACAGAAATAAGGATCCTGCAAGGTGAGACGTAAGATTGTATTTAGTGATATCTGACTAAACTCTTTTTTGAAAAATTGTAATTTCGTTAAAAATTTCATCTCTGTAATATTTTTATATAAATAAATATAAAATTATTATATTTTTTAATGTATTTTAATTCAAGGAATTTAGATCAAGTTAAATATAATTTTAGCAATTAAGTAAAATAATTTTGTCATTAATAAAAAACTAGTTTTATCATTTCAGTTTCATCAATTTCATCATATTAAGAAAGGTAATTTCGTCAGGTATCACTAATTGTATCTATTACAAACCAATCAGCAAAGGCCAAGTTTCTATTGATCTAAAGCTTCATTTGCAATAGAAAGGGGAAACTGTTGAATAAACTATTTTTTCAAATCTAAAGATTTGAGAAAATTACATGTTCTATTTTTATTATACGTTACGTAATTTGTTTATTTACTAAATCTCTATTTATTTCAAAAACTAATATTATACCGTTTCCCTTTTTTCTATTGCAAAGCTTCCAAATAATTTTTTTTTTTAAAGATGTGGTACTGTCAGTACTTATTAAAAATTGTATAATAATAACTAGATTAAAAAATAAAAGTAAATACAAAAAATAAAGACTAACTCTCCCTCGTAGTTCTATTTCAAACCTGTTTGAATCAACCAATTACTAAAATTCTCCCTCAGTACCCTCCAAAAGAAAATTCTCAAGAAGAATATAAATGATGAAAAATCTAAATGAACATATCAGTACTGTCCCAAGAAGTCATATCAGGAATAACCAAATTTAAGAGTCAAATTAAACCAATTTTTATAATTATCAACAAAAGCTTTCTTTGGTTTAGAAAGAAGTCAGCCATTGATTTTTTAATTTACTTTCTTTTTCTTTAATTTAACTTCAATATTAAGAGATTGTTTTTTAATGACTATGGCTTTACAATGAGATATCCAAATCATTTCATAGATAAAGTCATTTAATTTATCCAAGATGTTAATCAAAACTTGATCCACAAGTGATTGGGAAAAAAAAGATCTAAGGTGATTAACTAAAGATTTAGGAATAAAATCTTTTACTAGTTGGATAAATTTAATGGAATTTAAGGAAAAATTAAATGATTTCAAAATTGTTGTTTAATTAAGAAATATGAGTATAATCTATTGTTATTAATTTTAGAAAGGATAAGCTCATCAGTATAATCCATAAATTCTGCAGAAATGTTGATCATTTTATCCTTATTAGAAGGGCAAGTCTATAAGTGATCAGCAGTTTCAGGAATTGTATTACAAAGAGTATAATTCCATCCCTTATAAATGTCTGGGCATCAGATTTCCAATTTTGATAGTGTGGGTAATTCTTCAGCAAGAAATTTGATTTTGAAAGCTTTT